GAAGAATGAGAAGAATGAAAAGAAGAATGAAGAATGAAAAGAAGAATGAAAGAAGAATGAAAAGAAGAAGAAGAAGAAATGAAAAGAAGAAGAAGAATGAAAAGAAGAATGAAAAGAAGAAGAAGAAGAATCTTTTCATTCTTCTCATTTCATTCATTCTTCTTCTTCTTCTTTTCATTCTTCTTCTTCTTTTCATTCTTCTTTTCATCCTACTTCTTCTTCTTCTTCTTCTTTTCTTCATCCTCATCCTCTCCTCTTCTTCTTCTGAGGATGAGGATGAGGATGAAGAAGAAGAAGAAGAAGTGGATGAAAATAAGAAGAATTCCAAGCCGGCAAAAAGTGTATCTGCAGAGCTCCTCTATTCTGCAGATACACTTTAGAGGAGCTCTGCAGATACACTTTTTTGCCGGTTTGGAATTTGCCGGCTTGGAATTCTCCTTCTTCTCATCCTTCTTCTTCTCATCCTTCTTTCATCTATCCTTCTCCTTCTTCTCATCCTTCTTCTTCTTCTCATCCTTCTTCTTTCTCATCTTCTTCTCATCCTTCTCATCTTCTTCTTCTCATCCTTCTTCTTCTTCTCATCCTTCTCCTTCTTCTCATCCTTCTTCTTTCTTCTCATCCTTCTCCTTCTTCTCATCCTTTTCCTTCTTCTCATTCCTTCTCCTTCTCCTTCTTCTCATCCTTCTCTTCTCCTTCTTCTCATCCTTCTCCTTCTCCTTCCTCATCTCCAAGGGCATTTAAATTAAAGGTAACAGTGTTCTGCACTAATTTAAAAGGCTCTCTGAAGCCTAGAAACCCTTTTTATAAGTTAAATTCGTAGCGAATAAATTCGCATCGAATCGAATTTCTTCCTCAAATTCGGCGAATCAGCCGAATCGAATTTTTTGAATAATTCGTCTCATCTCTAGTTATAGCGTCTACAAACTATGGTATTGCAATTTACACCATTTTTTTGTTATACAGCATTGCACTAGTTTAACTGACAATTCTGCAGTCATGCAACACAAATAGAACTTTCTTTTGGTGGTATTTTACCACCTGTGTTCTTTTTATTTTTGGCGCTATAAATAAAAAAAGTTTGAGAAATTTTATTTTTAAAAATGATATTTTCTCATTTCTGTCATGAAAAATATACAAAAAAACTAAAATTTTGTCATAAATTTAGGCTAAAATGTATTCTGCTACATGTTTATGGTTAAAAAAAATCCCAAAAAGTGTATATTGATAGCTTTATGTGAAAGTTATAGCGTCTACGAACTATGGTATAGATAATGGAATTTACACAGCTTTTTCTTTCTGACTGCTCATCACATTTCTTGAGGTGCTAAAATACCAGGATAGTACAAACACCCCCAAATTACCCCTTTTCGGAAAGTAGACACCCTAAGCTATCTGCTGAGGGGCATATTGAGTCCATGGAAGATTTATTTTTTTCCCACAAGTTTCTGGAAAATGACAAAAACTTTTTTACAAAGTTGTCATTTAAATTATATATTTCTCACACAAGCCATGGGTATATGTGGAATTACACCCCAAAATACATTCCGCTACTTCTACTGAGTATGGGGATACCACATGTGAGACTTTTTGGGAGCCTAGCCACATACAGGTGCCTGAAATCCAATGACCACTTTGAAAACCTGAAGGTGTGTAACTTCCTCATTTCACTTCCTCACTACCTATCACAGGTTCGGAGGCCCTGAAATGCCAGGATAGCACCAAACCCCCCCAAATTACCCATTTTTGGAAAGTAGACACCCCAAGGAATTTAAAAAGAGGCATGATGAGTATTTTGCAGATCTCATTTTTTCTCACAAGGTTTTGAAATATAAAAAAAAGAAAAGAAAAAATATGTTTTTGTTTTTTTTCTTAATTTCAAAAACTTGTGGCAACAAACGAGATCTGCAAAATACTCACCATGCTTCTGATCAAATTCCTTGGGGTGTCTACTTTCCAAAAAGGGGTCATTTGGGGGGGTTTGGTACTATCCTGGCATTTCAGGGCCTCCGAAACTGTGATAGGTAGTGAGGAAGTATAATGAGGAAATAAAGCCCTTTAAAAGCCTGATGGTGCTTATTGGATTTTGGGGTCCTGTACTTGGCTAGACTGCCAAAAAGTCTCTCAGATGTGGTACCTCCATACTAGGGAGAAGTGGCAGAATGTATTTTGGGGTGTAATTCCACATATACCCATGGCATGTGTGAGCAATAAATCATTTAAGTGACAATTTTGTGTAAAAAAAAGAAAAAAGTTTTGTTTGTCATTTTCCAAAAATTTGTGGTAAAAAAATTAATTCTTCTATTGATTCAACATGCCTCTCAGCAAATAGTTTGGGGTTTCTACTTTCCAAAAAGGGGTCATTTTGGTGGGTTGGGGCATTTTATGCCCAGCATTAGAAGTTTATGCCACACATCACTCACTCTTCTAACCACCTGAAGACCAAGCCTTTTCTGACACTTTTTGTTCACATGAAAAAAATCTGTATTTTTTGCTAGGAAATTAATTTAAACCCCAAACATTATATATTTTTTTAAAGCAAACACCCTAGTGAATAAAATAGTGGGTGCTGCAATTTTTTATGTCACTTAGTACAAATGCAATTTTTTTTAAAAAAAATACACATTTTTTACTTTTAATGCACAAAAACACTAAATATTGGCCAATTATTTGGTAAAATATAAAAGATTATGGTATACCGAGTAAATAGATAACAAACATTACCTGCAGCTGTAGGCATCATCCTGGTATAACCATTCAAAGTCCAGTGATGTACCAGTACCTCGGTTTACAAATTTAATTCGTTCTGCAGGACATTTCATATAGCGAAAAATTTGTAAACTGAAACACTGTTTCCCATAGGAATGCATTGAAAACCAATTAATCCATTCAGAAGGTCAGAAAAACAGTAAACGGTACTAAAATACTGCATGAGTTATTTTATTAACTCATGCAGTATTTTAGTAGTGACAACCATGTTTTAATATTTCAGCTGTCAGCAGGGTTCCCCATTGACAGATGAATGTAAAAGAATTGCTGGTAATTAAAAAAAAAAATTTAATTGCAGGCAGTTCACTCAGTTGTCAGGTGCCAGTTTTTAAATGTAATTACTGTTTTTTTTTTACCCTTCACTATACAGTAGTTCAGAAATTCAGCAGTTACTGTAAGGGATTTCTGACAAGGAGAATCGTGATCGGGAACGCGCATGCGCACAGGCATTCCCGCAGGAGAATTGCCAGTTGCACTCTGCGCACAGGAATGCGCGATCGCGCACATGCACGCGCACGTGCACACGCATGGCGAAGATTGGCACCAGACGGCCCATTTAAGGAGTGCCTCTGCTCAGGTTCAGTGCTGACTGGTCTTCAGCTCCCCCCGTGTCCTGCTAGTTCCGTACGTGTCAGGGACCCCAGGCTTTACCGCGGCACGCGAGTCTGCACATGCGCGGTATGCCGGGGTGCATTAGCATGCGGGCACTAGGACCTGGGCGCCCGCGATGGCAACGGCAGTAGCGCATGCGCACTCACGATTGCGGACGCACGCCTGGCACCAATGAGAGCGCAGGGTGCCCTATTTAAACAGGCTCTGACTATGCTCAAATTGCCGTATGGTCTTTTCCTGTTATCCTGTGTTCCTGAGAGATTGCTTTGTTGACGACCCTGCCTGACCCTTATCCATTGACTGTCTCCTGCTCTGATCCCTGGCTTGTCTGACCATTCTCCTGTCTTATCCTGTACGTTTGACCTCCTGTTGCTGAACCTGGCCTGTGACCCGTTTATCATTCTGCCTGCCGCTTTGTACCATTCTGCCTCCACCATTACCGACCTGGCCTGTCTGACTTCGCTCACTCCACCTCTTCACATCAGGCTCTCACCTCCTACGTACCACCGGCAAGTGCCTCTACCACAGCTGGCTGCACCCAGGGGCAGCGACCTGGTTTCGGCCTGCTCCAAGTCCATCCCCACCATCAGGGGCACTGGTGAACAAGCAGGTCGGAGCTTAGATTCTGCGCCCCGGAGGAATCCCGGTCTGTGGAGCGCTAGAGGCTACCGCCGGTCAGTCCCTAACAGTACAATTCCTTTGTTCCTGACCCGAATCCGATTACTCTTCTGCTCCTGGTTCCTGACTTCGGCTCTGCTCCTGACTTTGGCTTCTCCTTCTGATTCTGTACCGCGCTGCCCGACTGTTTATGACCCCGACCATCCTTGACTCTGCTCCAGTCCTGTGTCCTTGCTACCTACCTTGCTCTGCTGCACATCTGGCAATCCACAGAACCTACCTGGTCTATTTCTATGGTGCCCAAATCAGAGGATACTCTGCCTACCAAGGTCATCACCTGCAAGAGCCGCAAGCAACAACCACTGGCGCTCTTGTCCCCCTGGTCCCTAGACTCCCTCTGTTCCAACATCAGCGGGGTCAGGGCTAGTGACACAAGTGAGGCCGACCTCGTCAATTCAGACTCCCATCAGGTACGTGACAGTTACTTTCCCCCTCCAGTTGAAAGAGAGAAAGTTTCTTTTAGTTTATTTCCCCAAATTAAAAGATACAATATTTACTTTAAGTTTCTTAAAAGATACAATGGTTCCTTTCAGTTTCTTAAAAGATACAAAGTATCCTTTAGCTCTGGGAAACTGACAGCTAATGTTGTGAGCTATACTGAAGAAAAAAAAAGATGGCAATTGCATTTGAAAATCAGCACTGACATACACTTAGTATTGTGAAAAAAATTAGTAAACAATTTGTAAACTGAGGCATTATTTTCAATGGATTTTCATTCGTAAACCGAAAATTACTTTACCAGAGGCATTCGTAAACCGAGCTATTACTGTATATGCTGTGTTCTTTTTTTTTGTATGCAGCCTGTGGACTGAATGAAAAAAAAGAGAAGAAAATCTCTGCCAGAAAGTGTGTGGTATTCCCACCATTGGAATATACCGCCCTGCATCCACCCACTTCTAATGGTGGGTACACATTAGGTCACACTTTGCCACATGCTCCAGTTCCAAGATTGTACAAATGTCTAAATAGTGGCACGCTTGAATAAAAATTGTCCACGTATAAGTGGTACTCCATATGGAGAAGGATGACACCAAGTCCCAAACTATCTTGCCACTGCTCCCCATGTAGTCTGGACATCTGGGGGGTCTTTTCCCTTGTAAATCCGAATAATACTTGTGCTCGCCACCGCACCAGCTTGTACTACACTTACAGGACTTAGGCACATCGCCTAGTCATACTGCAGTGCTCATATTATTATTATTATTATACAGGATTTATATAGCGTCAAAAGTTTTCTCAGCACTTTACAATATAACGGGAGACAATACAGCAACAATACAGTTCAATACAAGAGGGTTAGGAGGGCCTGATCCTGGGAGCTTACAATCTAAGAGGTATGTGAAAGGCCAGGATGTACTAGACCGCTTGGTGTCGCCAGTTCACCAAAAGGTAGCGCGGCACTAGTACTGGCACTCATGCTGCATATGAGAGTCATCAAAATTTACCGGAAAGTGCGAACAGAGATCAGGCCTGATTCTGCGAACACTGTGGTTTTGTGTGCAATGTATCAAGTGACAGTGACCTACTGACACTGCACTTGCGGGGGGAGAAGGGGGGGGGTAAGCGTAGGGGCGAAAAGCAGGTGTTGGCAGGTGCCGGGGGCTGATCACACTAACGCTGCATTTTTGGGGACGCTATACTAATGTGAACACTGGTATAGTGCTGATCTGATCAAAGATATTGATCCGTTCAGACACTATACTAGCAATGGAGGTTTATTGTGTATGAGCGTCTTCCTGGCAATCAAGGGGTTAAATGTGATGACTGGTGTACAGACAGGCAATCTGACGCCATCTGGGAGGGGCGTGAAAACCACGGGAACGTGAATCACGTATATATATGTGATTTTGCGCACCTGTGCCACCCTGTAGCAGTATTTCTGCTATAGGGCAGTCAGGAAGCGGTTACATAAGCGGTTTGTGTTACGGCGCTGCGTTATTTTAACTGACAATTGCGCAGTCATGCAACGCTGCACCAAAATGAAATTGACATCTTTTTTTTTTCCCCACAATATGAGATTTCTTTTGGTGGTATTTAATTGCCTGTGCGTTTTTTATTTTTCGTGCTATTACAAAAAAAAAAACGACAATTTTGAGAAAAAAAGATATTTTGGACTTTTTGTATAAAACATGTCCAGTAAAAAAATTTAAAAATCTAATTTTTCATAAATTTCAGCCAAAATGTATTCTGTGACATGTTTTTGCTAAAAAAAAAAAAACAATACATGTAAATTAATTGGTTTATGTGAAAGTTATAGCATTTACAAATGGCGGTATAGATACTGGATTTTTATTTTTTTTATACTAATAATGGTGGCGATCAGCGACTTATGGCGGGACTGCGGTGGACATTCTGACACTGGGGGGGAACTCACTTGGGGTCACTGACATCCCCAGTGACACCAATACAGTGATCAGTGCAAAAAAAAAAAAACACTGACACTGTACTAATGGCACTGGGGAGGAAGGGGTTAACTTTTTTAGGCAATCAAAGGGTTAACTGTGTGAGTGGAATGTTTTACTAGTGGGTGGTGTACTTCACTTTTCCACACTGTTCCAAGAAGCTAATCTCTGCTCTCCGGGACAGCGTGCTGGAAACTGACAGGGAGCAGAGCTGCATTGAAAACAATGCAGCTGTGCTCTGTGCCACTGTTTGCCGGCAATCGCCGGGACCCGGCGATTGACACCCGTGACCTCAATCGGTGGCACGGGTAGGCGGTCATGCACCTCGCGCGTGCCCCCTACCTGATATGCAAAATGACGTTTATATATGTGACGTTGCGCAGCAGTGCTGCCCTGCCGCAGTATATGTACTGTGGCTGGTCGGCAACAGAAAACAGCCGTGAAACCCTTTTATAACGCTTTTTAATTTTTAATTTTTATTGTTTGTAGACAAAGTACAGATTGGTATAATTTTATACACAGTAAAGTCCCAAAATTGGGGGATTTATTTTCATATTTAGATCCCTTCCTCAGGCTTTATACATTTTGCTATGGTTAAAAAGGAGTTTTTGGTGCATACATCTTTAAATACATGTAAAGCTACACTGCCAAAGCAATTCTATAAAGTGTGGTTCCTAGCTCTAAACTATCTGAGCTCCCACTCTACAGTATATAGCAATGAATACATTGAAAATAAAAATACATTGGAGTTAGCCCTACAGCTGCCATTCATAGAATGCTTTGTATTTTGCATTTAAATATAAGGCATGTTTTAATTGGACAAGGTGGAGATTGTGATGCCACCTTCACATCTTTGCACAAGGTCCAATCAGAGAATGCCTTGTATTCACTGAAAAAACTACAAGGTGTTCCGTGAATGACAGCTGTGCTGAGCAAGCAACCATGTTCACTATGTAGAAGGGCAGCTGCTTGGCAAAGAACCCTAAAGGAGCCAGAGATTACTGTAATAGCATTGACTACTACAGTGATTCTCTACTTTAGCTGAGGTCCCACTGGTACTAAATATGCATACTTACATTGGTCAAAGCTGGATCAATGTAACTATGCAATAAAAACCTTCCCTGGAGTTTAGCTTTAAAGGTACAACAACACACCACAAGCCCAGATTCCCTGGGGGTAAATGAAGACCCCCAGTGTGTGTCTGTACTAAATATAACAAAGCAAAGATTGGCAAACCATTTCAACATTTAGGCCTTGTGTGCATTGCTACTCCTTTATTCATGTTTTTGCAGCCTTACAGCGTTTTTTTTTTTGCCAAAGCCCCTGAGCACAACTCAGTAAAAGCTTGTGTCAATGCACACATAGGCTTTTACCAGAGTTTAGGAGCTCAACATTTAGAGGCAGTAAACTGTCCTCTCCCAAATGCTTAGGAGAGAACAGTTTTGGCAGAAAAAATGCTAAACGCGGCAAAAAACACGTGTAAACAGGTGGGTTTCACACTTGAGCGTTAATTCATTTCAGTGGCCAGAATGAATCATTTATCCTGGCCAATGAAATGAATTAACACTTAAGCAAGCACTTGACACTGCTAAATGTGGGTAAACGTGGCTAAGTGTGGTTCACATGTTTATCAGCACCCAGCATTTTTCTGCTGCCAAGAGAAAGGCGTCTAGGGAGTTTTCAATGTGAATGAACCCTTATTAGGATTTTTAGGTTGTGTCAAATGTTTATGGAAGGAGGGAGGTGTTGACACATCATATACAGATTCCATTAGGGAGGAGCAATATAGTTACTAAAAAGAGACCACCAACTGAAAGACGAATGGGGGTTTACAGGGAAGGGGCATGTTTGACACTTAAGGAGGCCGGATATGCCTCTGTTCAATAAAACCATTTGACTGAGAACTTTTTTGGGGTAGATGAGTATAGCCAAAAGATTGAGCTCTGAGGAAGGAGTACATCTCCCGAAACGTGTTAGCTTACCCCACCAAGGGTCTACCATCACTTTGGACTGTTATTACAGACTCTTCTCTGTTTTTATCCCCTTTGGTTTGTGAGTATGCATGTATATGCTTTAAAATAAATTTGTGTTTCACCACCGTAATGCATGATGAGCGTGCTCCCTGTTTTGCTTTTGTTCAATAGCCAAAAGATGTGTTGAAGGAGGTGCTGATAAAAAGAAATATAAGGGCTGATGAGCTGCACTGGCCAGGCTCAAAGTAATATGGATGTGCTGTCCAGATATCTACCTGAGCCACAACAAGAAAAGGAAGATAATGATTTTGAAGCATTTACAATAAAAAAAATATGGAAGAGCAAGTATGTAAAAATGGGAACGTCAGATCAAAAGTTGTGTAAACATGAATAATGTAACTTTAAAGTGTTACTAAACCCACAACTCTAAAATCAGTCTATATATGCAGTAAAGCATGCTTGTTATACTCACTGTGGAACCTAAGGGGTTAATCCTTTAAATTGTGTAAATAGGGTGTTTGGTCCTGTCTTTTCTGATTGTCCCCTTCTTTTACTGACTCCAATCCATCTCCTGATAGAACAGAGCTTCGGGGGCAAGCTGCACATGCGCAGTTTGGTGTGTAGTGCTAGAGAGTTTTTTTTTTCCTTGAGAGAGTGTATGTAATCAGCACAGGGCCAATCAGTGCTGTCCAGACAGAGGGTCAGGGGTCCTGCAGCCTCATAGGGGAGATTGAAAACTCCTCCTACAAGCTTTAACCAGTGCTCTGCTGGACATTGATAGAAGTTACAAGACTGTTTTAACTGCTGATGAGAAAAGGTATTTAGCAGTTTATATTTACTAAAATAATTGCATTTCTTCTGTGTCCTGTGGGAGACCAGATATAGTGAATGCAGGGTCCTAGGTTTAGTAACACTTTAAATCAAGATTTCCACAATGCTTTGTCTTAAGGTAATCAAGCTTTTGCCCAGGATCCTCAACTGACTTGAATTAAAACATCAGGGTGCAGAGCTAAATAGTAGTGACTGAAGTAGGGGAATGCTATATCTTCAGTCCAGGAGGACCGTTCTCTGGATCTCTAAAGAGAAGTATGAACTCAGCATATTTTTACTTGATCAACTTCCACACAATGTTCAGTTTTTTACTTTTGGAATACCTAACAGTAGGCAAACCGAACCCCTTATAAGCTTTACTTTCTTCTATAATGTGTTCATGTAAATGTGTTCGGATTGCTTTAAGTAGTCTTTAAAAATGACTTTCCTGAGTTTGTCAAACACTTTATTGTGAAATATGGGAGTAATGTGCTCATTTTCCGCTTAGCTGAACTAAAAATAACGCCCCATGTAGGTAATAAATATGACTTGGGCGAGTTCCAATCATTTCCAGTGAACGCTCATAGCACACATGGGTGGGGAGAGAAAAACAATAATATTTGTGTATTTATGTTCAGCCTAAAGAGGAAGAAATATAAGATGATTAAGCCCTGGTTCACAATGATGCGGTGCGGAATTCACAGCATTTTCTGTGCGATTTCCGCACTGGATCACAATCACACTCTGTTCATGCAAACCACCGCGGGTGTGTATGTTAAGTAACAACACCCCAAAAGCGGTCTGCAAAGCGCGGTGCAATGTGCAGAATTGGATCGCATAGGTGTGAATACCCATGCGATCTGATTCTAGTGCGGACCA